AAAAAAAAATAAGTCTATATATAGAATATTATCAGCATACTCAGTGAAGGGGAAGAATAAAATGCAATTGTAAAATGTTGATTATTGTGTTGATGATAGACAATAAGAGAAACCTTTCTGTCTATCTCTTGTATGAGTTGCTTTAACACTAATATTTGTGGATCACTGTTTTCAACTGTAAAATCATGAGATTTTGAGATCATTGTAATTACATCATGTGATATCAGTCTGTATCTTCCGATTATTCAATCCAAAGGTGGACTCAGCATACGAAGACAGATGATAGCCACAAACTCGGGAATTGGTTCCTTCTTATTCGTCGCTCTTGAAGAAACTTATAAGGTATTTTTCTAAATTTATTGCAAATCAAATTTCGGAACTTTTCATGTTTTTAAAGATGTCGATCAATATAATCGTCTGGTTGCGGATGAGTACATATTTGTGAGATAAATGTTCAATTTGGACCAGTGGTTGATCCGGACCATCCGGTTGAACTGTTATTTAATTTATTAATATTTTTAAATATATAATACTTCATAAATATATTTAACTTAATTTTAAGTTATTTAATTTATTGATATTTAAAAATATATAATACAAATAAGTTCATTTACATGATTATAATCAAAATTTATAACATAAGAAATTTTTTATTATTATTTATTTAAAATGAGGTGCAATTAGTTTTTCATACTTGCAACATACAATTGTTAACTAGAAATTTATAACAAAGTGTGTGTTTTATAATAACTATAAGACAAAATTGAAAATTGGAAAACTTTTCTACAGGCTCCACCCACGGGTTTAGCAATTGGAACTTTGGAATTCTTTTTGTCTGCTTGTCCCACATCGTTTTACATAGTAGGTGAGTAGCATTATATATACTAGTATCGTGGCCCGTGCAAATACACGAAACTATTAAAAATAAATGAAATAAGGAAACATAAATAGAATAAATAATTTTTATATGCAATTAAAATAGACTATTATATACAATGTTTATATCTGTATATTTTATTTCTCATTATATATCAGTATCTTGTGTCTTTTTATTTGTAACTCGAGAAGCAACAATGTAAAGTTCAGAATTAAAAGCCTAAAAGCAGATTCCTATATATATATTCTTTAGTTTTTTTATTAATAGAACAAATTGATATAGTATTAACGAATTTTTTTATGTAGTTTTTTTTTTTAGTTTTTTTTTTATATAGTTTTCCATGAATTTAATGATTTTTTTTTTTTAAAACCGTTTTTTTT